TAATTTATTCTACTGATATGGAGTATTTAGGTATTAATGTATTAGACATTGTGTGACGGCTTTGTGCACATTTTAGCAGGTTAAGTAAATTTTTCAGGGCATTAATTTTGTTATGAGCATAAAGGTGTCTGGTGATGATTCTGTAATATTACTTACGTATTCATGGTTTGACATGCGGTCTCGAAGTTATTCGTAGTAATAATTTTGTAGCTGGAATATTGGGCATTTAAGATGTGGGATTGCGTAGGGAGTAAGAAGTGGAATAGCTGGGTTTTGTGAAGTGGAATGAAAAGTAAGGAAGTTTATTGAGAGATTGTGGTGTTTTCGTTGCAGGGCGGAAGTAGGACCAATTTTGCAATTGGCCTGGTGATTTCTCCCTTAGCTGTATCGATGTCGACTACTCTTACCCGGTTGTCGGAACCTGGATGTAGCTTGACGATTCTCTCCAACCTCCATTCGTTAGGTGGCAGGTTTTCCTCTTTAACGACGACCAGGTCCCCTTGCTTTAAGTTGGCTTGTGGATGTTTCCACTTAATGCGTTTCTGCATTTCGGTGAGGTATTCCATTTTCCATCTTCTGCAAAATGTCTGATGTAGGGCCTTCAGTTTCTGCCATCGATTTACGATCGCAGCAGGATTTTCGTTTACGTCGACTTCAGCTGGGGCAAGAAGATGCCCACCCACTAGGAAATGACCTGGAGTAAGCGGCTCCAGATCGGACGGTTCATTTGAAGAGGGGCTTAGTGGTCGTGAGTTGAGACAAGACTTAATACGGCACGAACGAGTACTGAAATCTTCAAAAGTATATTTATGGTCGGACGCGACCTTTTTAAAGTGAGTTTTAAAACTTTTCACCCCTGCTTCCCACAAACCGCCCATGTGGGGAGCCGCAGCGGGTATGAAATGCCATTCTACAGTTTGATGGTTGTATTTAATGAGAGTGCTATTGCGTGCCTCAGCTAAAAGAGCTTTAAATTCCGATCGTAAAGATTAGTGCCATTGTCGGAGTAAATGTTTTTTGGACATCCTCGTCTAGCAACAAATCTTGCGAAAGCGGCTAGAAAGGACGCGGTGCTAAGGTCGCTGGTAGCTTCAAGGTGGATAGCTTTCGTCGAGAAGCAGACGAAAAGACAAACATAGCCCTTTGACATGCGACATCCCCTGCCCCGGTAGGACTTTATGTCAAATGGACCGGCGAAATCCACACCCGTGTTTGTGAATGCACGGGAAAAGGTTGTGCGTTCTTTGGGAAGAATTCCCATCAGTTGGGTCTGCGAGCGTTTGTTGTGAATCGTGCATACCTTACAGTTGTGGATAATGAACCTGATCATATTTTTCACTCTCGGAATCCAATATTGCGTACGTAAGAGGCGCAACATCCACTGGTTTTCCCCATGTAACGAGATCTGATGGATGAACTGAACGATAAGACGAGTGCGCCGATACGACCACCAGTTCGCATAATATCATTCTTGTCGATGAATGGGTTGAGGGGCAAAACTTCACTATTCGCGTCGAGGGACCTACCCCATTTCAAGTTCCCATATTCTTCTCTATAATGTTGTTTCTGATAAACTGTTATTAAGCGTTGGGTCGTTGTTTTAATTTCACTGGACGAAATTGAACACGACTCTGCTTTAAAAGACGATTTTGTTTTGGGATTGGTTCTTTGATAAAATCTCAATACATATGAGATAACTCTCAAAGCTCTTGGGAAATCCGAGAATCTATCGAGAATGTTCACATTGTTTGTACTGGTTGTTGCGTGAACATGCACCCTTTTTTCCTCTAAGCTTGTGTTGAAGTCCCTTTCTTGTGCTGGCCATTGCGAGTTATCTTCTTGTAACCAAGAAGGACCCTGCCACCACAAGGAGTTATTGACTAGTTCACTCGCCGAAAGTCCTCTACTGGTCAGATCCGCTGGGCTTGCTGCTGAATCCACGTGACGCCAGTTTTCGTTTCCTACCTTTTCTACCAGCTTCGTTATCCTGTGGGCAACAAATGTTGACCATGAACACGGAGGTTTTCGAATCCAAGCTAAAACAAGATTAAGGTTTTCAACGACTGTTTCAACTGTCTCTGCTAGTAGCACTGCACCGCAGAGCTCCAATCTGGGCAAAGAAATTGTCTTTACGGGGGCCACTCTTGTTTTTGCCATGAGTAAATTGATAAAGATTTTCTCCTTTGCCTTTATCCTTAGAAAAACCGTTGCTGCAAACGCTTTTTCCGATGCGTCGCTGAAACCGTGAATCTCCACGTCGTCTGTCGGAGAAAAGTGAACCCACCTGGGTATGCGAATATTATTAATTGCTGTATAATCCCTCATAAAATTTTGCCAGCGGTCCAAAATGGGTGGGGAAACGGTCTCGTTCCAATCTGTTCCTACAAGCCAAATGCTCTGCATAATAATTTTGGCGACGATTATAGCTGGCGCGAGCTAACCAAGCGGATCAAACAGTTTGGCAATAGCTGACAGTATTGCCCTTTTAGTTATAGCGTCGCGATTCTCTATAGGTTTCGCAGTAAAGTAGAAATAGTCTGAGTGAGCATTCCACCTGATACCTAGAGCTTTTACCGTGCTGGTATCTTCAAACTCTAGAAAGTCTTCTTTTAGAAGATCTTGCTTTGTTATTCCTTGTAGGATTTTATTGCAATTTGCAGTCCATTTTCGTAATGGAAAGCCCGCCGAGTTTAGCGCTTGGGAGATTTCGTCTCGAGCTCTTATCGCAGAGTCGATGCTACGTCCACCGGCGAGTACGTCGTCGACGTACATACATTTCCTCAAAATGTTAGATGCTAGTGGATAAGAGCTCGTCACATCGTCCGAGAGTTTATGTAATGTCCTTATGGCGAGATAAGGAGCACAGTTAATGCCAAAGGTTACCGTTTTCAGTTCGTATAAACTGAGAGGCTCCTTTGGGCTGTTGCGGAAAGCGATTCGTTGGAATTTTGTTTGGCTATCTTTTACCCAAATTTGCCGATACATTTTTTCAATGTCATTGTTGAAGACGTATTTGTACAATCTCCAGCGGAGGATAAGTATGGTTAGATCGGCCTGTAGTACTGGACCTGGGAGTAGAACATGGTTTAAACTCACGCCGTTAGCGGTAGGGCAAGAGGCGTTGAACACCACTCGGACCTTAGTTGTGGTACTTTCTTCCTTCAAGACAGCGTGATGCGGTAAAAAATAACAATCTGTTGAGTTTGCTGACACGTTGTTTAATTTCGACATATGTCCTAAAGTTTCGTATTCCGTTAAGACGCGGTTATATTCTGTTTCAAGAACAGGTTTTTTCGCTAGTCGTGCCTCGTTCCGGTAGGACTGCGAACACGCACTCTTCAGCGAAGGCCCTAGGCACAAAGCTTTTGGAAACTCCTTTTTGAAGGGTAGAGAGACAACGTATTTTCCGTCAACGTTTCTCGTAGTTGTTACCTTGAAGAGCTCTTCGCAATACGTATCCTCGTCATTGAGAATTCTTTTCCTGGGGATGTCTTCTAATTCCCAAAAGGTGGTCAACTGCTTGTCCAGGTTAACTTCTTTGTAAAAGGACACGATATTTTTGGCTGGACTCGATGCTTCCGCACAGCCCGTTAAAATCCATCCGAACACGGTTTCTTGGGCGAGAAGCGTATTTAATACGTTCTTTTTTATGCCGCTTAAAATTATCTGGGGATATATGTCTCCTCCGAAAACGAGATCAACTGGTTCATTAATGAAGAACCTTTTATCCGCCAGGACTAAGTCAGGGAATGCTTGCCGAGTCATTGCGCTTACTTGGCAAGTCGGCAGATCCCCTGTTAGTTTTGGTAAAACCAGTACAACAGCATCTATGCTTATTAATGGGTCTGTGGGCGACCGCAATTGAATGGCGCATGCTTTTTTTACCTGCGCAGATATTGGGTTATTGATGCCCGAGACTTGGGCATGCAAGCGTTTTGATGGCAGGTTGATTCTGCGCTTAAGTCTTTCAGTTATGAAAGAGCACTCTGAGCCCGAATCTATCAGTGCTCTTGCAGACAAATTAACACCATTGTAATGTATGTCTACGTGCGCCGTTCCTAATAGCACTCCTTTGTTTATGTTTGCGAAGCAGGAGTTCACATTCCTAACTTCTCTGTTATTTTCTCTTTCAGACTCCCGTCTAAACTGAGCCTGCCTTGAAGATGAGGCTCCGTCACCTTTGGAGTTCGGAGTTCCCCTAGGAGCTGTTGCTTTTGGCTGAATTGCTTGTGGTCGGTGGAGCAACGTGTGATGCCTTGAATGGCACGTGCTACAATTAAAGGGACTGGTCCATCTTGTCACCGTATGTCCGGCTGACAAGCAATTCAAGCAACGTTTATTGCTCTTGACATACTCTATTCTGTCGGTGGGGGTTAACATGCAGAATCCTTCGCAGTGTCGTAGCTTGTGCTCGCTACTCTGGCACATTGGGCATGGTTGCTTGGCCACACTTGCTTGAAAGGCGCCAAGTCTCTTTGAAGGCGCTTCCGGCACTTGCCGTGTGTTTTGGGGCTTAGGCGCCTTAACTGTTTTATTGTCCTTGAGCCCAGACACGGTTTCTAATGTCTGAAACCGATTGGATAGGAATTTATCCATATCTTCCCATCTTGAAATTTCTGTTTTGTTCTCTATGGATTGTTCCCACAGAGCTAGTGTGCATTCTGGCAGTTTTGTTGAACATAAATACGT